ACGCTGAACTTATCCTTGGCCGTGAAAAACAGGTTGCCGGGGATCTGTTTGAAGTCGGCCTTCACATATGTTTCGTCGTCCATGATGCAGCATTCAACTTTCGTCAGCATGTTGAGGTACAACTTCCTGGCACGGGTTTTGGCGGACTTGTTCTGCTTCTCGTCGCGATTAGGGGCCTTTTGTACCTTGTACGTTCGAAGCCCAGCCTTAGTTTTGGCCTTCTGGACAAAACTTCGGCTTAGGTGCAGCTTCTTAGCCACATCCCTAACGGAGGCGTTCGGATTTCGGTTGAAGGCCCCAACTACGCAGTTGTGATTTTTGGTGTTGTACGGAATACTTTTTCCTTCACTTCTGGGCTTCCGATCGGTGGTCAACCGTTCCTTGAACCGCTTAATCACTCGTGACACCGTGGAATTCGCGATTCCCAACGTTTTAGCGATGGAACGATGCGAGAGATCCTTGTTCTCGTGATGAATGCGCAAGATTTTATCACGCACGAGCTGTTCTTTCGACTCCATTTCCGCGAGTTTTGATCACAGGACTTTAAAACTTGCAGGATGTAAATAATGCACTATGAACTAAATCCACCCAAATTTTCATTAAATTCTACCCAACGGTTAAAAAGTTAGAGCAATTTCATAGTGTGGCAATTTCATCGTGGACACCCTTTATGTGTATATAAGATATTGAGCAACGTGAGTTACTCAGAGTTACTCAAAATTAACTCGGGTTTTACTCATGATCGAAAGCTGTCTTGCCCCCAGCTCCCGATCATAAGTTTAAGGACACCCCGAAAAAAACATGCCAAATTTGTTATGTTCATATCTCTGTCATGTTACGTCCAATTTTCGTTCTCTTTAGATCATTTGAAAGGTATTGAATGGAACTTTCCTCAAATTTTGTGTGCTAAAAGTTCACCCAAAGTTTCAATATTTTACGAAATTTACTCTGAAGAATCGTGACTGATTTTCTCAGAATTGGGTTGGCCAAATTTTGAAATAAAAGTATTAATAGAACACTTATGCTATACCATTCATACCATTCAAATAACCGTTGGAGATCGAAAATTGAACGTAAAATGAGAGATCATTGAACAAAACATATTTGCATGGTTTTTTGGGGGTGTCCTTAAACTTATGATCGGTAGTGTATTCACTAGATCATATTACCGTGTGGGACCGAAATCCGTACACCTAAGCACGAGAGAATCATTAACGGTCAATACTAAATAATGCTATCACATTATGCTCTGTATCACATCTTTTTCCTTTACATTTATCTTTATTTTTCCAATATTTGCAAACACCAGGTCTTAAAATTACCTTTAATTATTAGAAAAAAGGATTTAAATTGCACATATCTTGAATCAAAATCCGTACAGCGTTTTACGATTGAATCAAAATCCGTACAGTTTTGAATCGAAATCCGTACACTGTGTTGAGGATGAATCAAAATCCGTACAGTCATGAATCAAAATCCGTACATGAATGTAAATCGATCCAAATCAATGAAAAAAAAAACGTGTTGCTATCTTGAATAAAGTATTTTTTTTGTAGTTGTTTGGCTAAGAGCAGGCATGGAAAATCATTTGCATTCATTTCGTGCATTCATTTACATTCATTTGCACCTAACTTTTTTATCAATAGAATTCCGCAAAATGATGTTTGAAGCTTTTGTAGGTTTTGTTATTAACTACAAGTTTTGTTAGCATTTCAAATTCGTATCTCTTATGCATGACGAACCAGAGCGAACATAAGCCACTGACGTTTTTCAGTGAATGTATTTTACATTCACTGAAAAACAGTAACAAGTTCTGCCCGCTCTAGTTCGTGATGCATAAGAGATACAGATTTGAGTTATCAACAAAAGTTGTAGCTAATAATAAAACCTACTGAAGCTCTATACATCATTTTACTCAATGCCGTTGATGAAAAAAGTTAGAGGCAAATGAATGTAAATGAATGCATGAAATGAATGTAAATGATTTTCCATGCCTGGCTAAGAGTCCAAAACAGCTATATTCGTTTAAATACACTAGTTTACAGCATATTTGAACTTTGTACGCTGATGGTCATTTCCCATGTCAAATCGTGCGCTGAATCCAAAAATGTAGTCCAAAAAAATCTCGGTAGGATAGTTTTGGAGATATAGAGGTAAGAGAGGCATAGTGAACAGGTGGGGCATAGTGAGCATCGCGCGTGCTCCAGCTTGGACTTCCGACCGTTCAGAACAAATTTGTTGGCTGTAGGATCAATATCTTAATGATATTGATCCTACTACCAGTTGATTTGTTTCATGCAGTTGGAGATCCAGAGCCAAAGTACGGGATGCTCACTATGCCCCGCCTGTTCACTATGCCCCTCCTTCCCCTAGCTAAAAAATGAAATCTCACGTTAAAAAAACTAAAACACAAATATCTCTGGCTGCAATGAAGTGATATTAATTATTTTAACGCCAAATTAAACGTGATAAAATGTTATTTCGATCGTTAAAACACTATTTTTCCGTGAGAGTAATGGTAGAACCACCATAAACATTTTAATTAACATTGCTTAAAAACTTAGCAGAAATTCAATTTTTCTTAGGAAAACTTAAAAAAAAACTATTAACTAACAACAATACCTTCAATCTCACTGACAATTGATGCTCAATTGATCGAACGAAAAAATTTCTTACCTCTAATTTAGCGTTAAAATAATTGATATAATCTCATTACAACCGGAGATATTTGTATTATAGTAATCAAACTTGTTTAAAGTGAATTTTCATTTTTAGCTGTATTTCAAAAACTATCCTACTGACATTTTTGAATTCAGTGCACGATTTTACATAAGAATCATTCGTCAAAAGTTCAAGTTCATTTATTTTACTTTTACTTTTTTAACTAATGATATCAGCGTTAGATTAATTGATGCTCCAATCGATTCAAAGGAGAGGTAACTGAATTCTTTTTACTTAAGAAGGTAACTGTTCTGGATTTTTATGCTAACTAATATCATGTTTAAGGATTAATTTCTTCCAAATTTTATTCTATACCAGTGCTTTGGGTTAAATATTCTTACTGGAGTTTTCCTCCGATCACAACTTCGAGGTTTTTGAAATTTACATGTTATAACGTGCAAGATGCGCCATACTTTGAAACTCCACCAACCCACTGGCATCAAGCGATAAATTAACCGGTTCCTAAGATGGTAGCCCTATAATGGCGGATAAGTAAAAGAAAAATACAACCATCTTAGAAACCAACAAAAAAAGACAATGAACTGACATCAAGGATTAGTTTTTCGTTTTGTGCATGAAAATTAAAATTGGTAAAATAACGACTTTAACTTAATTTAACTTAATACGTCAAGAGAGTAATAATCATAAAAACACAGATCTTTCATTGCTTCTTTTCCACAGCTTTCTTCTGCTTCTTCTCCATTGTTACCATTGCCTTTTCAAGTTATAATGCTTTCTTGCTTCCAACCCTAATAAAAATAACCATAATAGAGAGCTTAACGACGTGTTCGGGGTATCATCCAAACCATTTTTGGGAAAGTTTACCCATCCGGGATAAAGTTCGTTCATGGTATATGTTTATTAGGGAACTTTCTTTGCTCTTCTTCCTTTTCTTCCTCCTCTTCCTCTCTCGCTCAACCTTTTTCTTTTGTCGTTCCTCAATCCTTTGTTTCTTTGCGTTCTCTTTATCAATTTTCGCCCGCACTACTTTCATGTGTATTTCCGGTCATTCCTCTCTGGTAGCTACTGCTGGGAATGCTCTCTGTCCCATTTCTGTCTGCTCTCTGTAAGGGAGCATCCAAAAATGACGTAGCATATTTTTGATCAATTTTATACTCCCCCCCCCCCTCGTAGCGTATTTGGCTATATCCAATGCATGGCCGGTCACAAATTCTGAAACCCTCACCTCCCCCCTCAAATGCTACGTCATTTATGCTTGGTCCCTAATCTGTATATGCGTGTTGGTGATATCCTGTAGGGGAGCTGCGTTGTTTTACTTTTTGGCTGGTTCTTGACGCTCTTCATTAAAAGATATTAATAATATAACGTTTACAATACGAATAAAATAAGAGAGTAGCGATTCAATACGGCATCTCTTATGGTGGTGAATTGAACGGCAAAATCCCTGGATGCTTCTTGGTAAGGTTTCTCCGCACGCATAATTGCCATAGTCTTCTCCAAATCCTCCGGCGTGTATTTAGTTTCCATGATCTGCTGAAAAACATTGGATAAAGTAGAATCGTCATTAGTGATGCACAAGTGTACGGATTTAGAATCAGCTGTTATATATGGATCGAAATCCGTACAGTACTAATTTTGATAAATAAATACAATATGAACGATCCATTGCTTAGAATTGAGATATAAAACGATAAACACTAACCTTTTCGATCGACCTTCAGGAAACTACTTGCAAACATCACTGAAATACACTTAACAAACTGAAGTAAATCCGAGATATTTTCTTAGAAAATCGTTAAGAACGCAACCGATTGACAGAAATGCCCGACACGTGTTAAGGTTTTTATTTTTCTTATTTTAATTGCATGACATTCTGCTTACTTGTTGACGTAAACATTAAGCTAATGCATGAATGAACATGAATATGTATTCATGTATAATATTTACATTGTTATGATGCATATAAATAAACAAATTCAACAGGGTGTACGGATTTCGGTCCCGCACGGAAACAACCAAAGCATTGTGCCGCTCTGAATTTTCACCAAACACTTCACAAAATTCACGAAACAAAATCATGTCAGTTTTGTAGCGCGGCCGACTTAGGTGTCCGGATTCGTACCTACATGTACTAAAATTACGAGTTGAGTAAATGTTATCATTTAATTTTGGGACAATGTTCCGATTTTTGTTTAACGAATCTGAGTGAATAGATTGCAGTTTGGAAAATTATTTTACCCGTAACTTTACATCAATCCCGATAATTTTAATAATACTTATTACTCATTATAAAAATCTCTCCCTTCCCATCTTTTCAGAACGAAGAACCCGCCGAAGTTGGCCGTCTCGGGCCCAGCGACTACTTTGGAGAGATTGCCCTGCTGCTTGATCGTCCCCGGGCGGCCACCGTCATCGCGCGGGGCTCGCTCAAGTGTGTCAAACTGGACCGTGCCCGCTTCGAGCGGGTGCTTGGCCTATGCGCGGACATTCTCAAACGAAACATTACCCAGTACAACAGCTTCGTTTCGCTATCGGTCTAAAATCGGAATTCTAGAAGTACATATTTAAACACACACACCCACACACTCACACATCACTTACTACACACAAGAAGAAGATGAAGAGGGAGCGAAAATTTATGAAAATCAAAAAAAAACAGAACGGTCGAGCCAACACAAAATAATAGCCCATGTTATAATTATGTATTAGGTTTAATTTATTTAGCAGAATTGTGAAAATTTACCATCCTTTGCATGATCAAGTTCGAATCAGTAGAATGAGAAACATAACTCAAATTTTGAAACATCTCTTTAAACATTGTAGGTTTTTATTTACGTGAGCGTGGGCCTTGCGAGACATTCATATAGAACAAGTTTACTTAATTTAGAAGTTAGGAGGAAGCGATTAGCACATTTTGACATTTAATTGCAGATTACGGATTAGTGATTCTCTATAATGTAATGATAACAAATATAATAAATAACAACACATCATCGACGAGCCGAAAAGAATTATATAGACATCGTACAGACAGATACACACAAACAACACATGCCAGCAAAATACGTTCTATTATAAACTAGCATACAAGGAAACGCCGCCGAGTTTACTAACGCAGAGTTATCCTATTCTGATCGTGAAACATTATTAGTGTACAATACCATTTGAAGAGAAGAAAAAAAAATTACAAACACTGGAAATATTGTATCTGAATCGTTTTAAAACCGACATGCTGTGAAGAAAAAAAAAGCTGCCCGCAGCAGTGGAAAGTAATACTAGTTAGATATCATTTTCTTGCATCATATTTCAACTAAGGCAAATAGAAATTGATGAACACACGACGAAACAAACGAAGCGGCGTGTCTACAAGCAAGCATAAATCGATGTTGCAAACTGTAAGAAAACTAATCAACTAATTGGATACGAGCAAAAAAAAAATAAGGAAAAAAACGCTAATAACAATAAGAATAAGTCGCCGGACAAACTTGGAACGGTAATCTTTCAGCTAATCGTGACAAAGTAACTTAAAAACAATTCACAAATCAAGAAAGAAAACATACAATGGTGCGTTACAAGAACGGAAAACTAATCAACTAAACAAAAAAAAAGATGTTTTATGGACACATGCAGAATCAAAGCAAAACAAAACAAAACCAAAAAAAAAAATTATGTATTGTTGGAAACAGTGTTTGGGTGTGGCAGCGTGTTCAAACTACGACTACCAGATTGTTGTTTTATTGCATGAATGGGAAAGCGAGATAGCGGTACTTGTAACTTGAAGCCAACTTTTTTAGTAGATGAAACATCAGATGATGAATTTAGATGCTTTAGAGAGCGCAAAAGTAGTGTTGTCATTTATCTCAAAAGGTAACGAAGAAAAGAAAAGAAAAAAGTGCTAGGTACAGCATATATGCATTATTTTAGTGGAGAAGCAGATGTGTGGTTGGCTAGTTGGGAAAAACGAGTGTTGCGTGGAAACAGGCAGGAAAGGTGGGACGACGGAACGGAACATATTTAGAAGGAAATCAGAACGAACAAAAGGGAAGAAACTAGCACGAGGCAAGAAGGAGGGATTCAGGTGTCGAGCAGCTTTGTTGCCCGATGGCGGCTCTCAGAAGGGTTGCAATAGTAGAGAAAGATAAAACTACAAATTTTCTCTCCGTTTTAGCTGTTATGTGTTAGAAACCGACAACAGTGGATGATGCTGCGTGTTTAGAAAATCAACTGTTGAGACACAAATAACGTCGTAAACGAAATTAAAAAAAAAAAGAAGAAAATGGGGATGTTCGAAAGCATTAGAGTTTAGAGAAGGTATTTCCTAGGTACGTTTTGTTTGGTGATGATTTTAGCAACCACTTTGTTAGTTCAATTTAAAGATGGAACGTCAGATTGGCCGTGTTTAGTGTTTCGCGTATGCTTCCATGAACTGAGTTAGATTTGTCAATTACAAAATTACGCACTATCCGCTACATATTTGAGGGCTTCACCTTGTTTGGCATAATGCTATTTGGCAAAACTGCCGTTTGACATAAACGAAAAACAATGCATTTTATTGCCTTTGTGGAACTGTTCTCCAGAAATTACAAAAGAACAGGTTGGTTGGTTGGTTGTCTTTATTAAGGAGATTTTGTCCAAAAGAACAGCTCATGTTTAAAAGAATGAGTTAGTTCGTGCAACAAATCACGTCTCTTGGACTTCGCTCTTGGAAATGATTCAGTACTCCTAACTTCCAATGCCTACTCCTATTCAACCATCAAGCTGAATCTACGCAGCGCCTACCTGGTTTACAACAGCGTCTCCCTCTTATTTATTTATTATTATTATAGTCCATCTGACTTGATAGTCTCAATGAAACACTTAAATCTAAATGTAGTCACTCATTAAAAATTGAAAATTGGCCGACAGCAAACGATGTCGAAACCTGGAGGCATTGATGTCAAAGTCAAATAGGTCAGAGGCTTCGTTGAATTTATGAATCATGGCGACAAAGGAACTGTTTGCAGCATAGTTGATTGCATGTACTACTTCATGTAGCAAGGTTCTCGGACGGAGTGTTCGGGCAGGAGCATACAGATTAATTTTGGCCAGTAACTCAGGAACATCATATTCTGCGAGTAAAACTTTAGCAACGAAGACGACCTGCGATATGTTTCGTCGCTTAGCAAGAGTATCCAAACCCAGTAAACGACAGCGGTCAGCATACGGTGGTAAATTCAGCGGGTCACTCCATGGAAGATAGCGCAGTGCGTATCTGACGAATTTGCGTTGAACAGCTTCGAATCGTCCACTCCATATTGCTTGGTAGGGATTCCAGACAACACACGCGAATTCCAGTAGTGAGCGTACCAATGAACAGTAAAGGGCTTTAAAACACAGAGAATCACGAAATTCCTTAGATATCTTGAACATGAATCCAAGCTGACGATTAGCTTTGTCGATCTTGGTTGAGAAGTGGCGAGTGTATGTGAGCTTTTCATCCAACATGACACCGAGGTCTTTAACGTGATTGACACGTTGAACTGCAACCTTATATTCAAACAAAACGGCAGTCCTAGTTCGACGGAAACTAATTACGCAGCACTTTCAGACGCACAGGACCATAAAATTACGTTCACACCAATGATTAAATATTTCAAGAAGGTTTTGTAGTTCTAAACAGTCGGCATAGCCTCGAACGACTAGATAAATCTTCAAGTCATCGGCAAAAAACAATTTACCTCCACGTAGTAGAATAAACGTTACATCGTTCACAAATAAAGAGAAGAGCAGTGATCCCAAAGTGCTACCGAGTGGAACTCCTGATCTGTTCGAGAAACAGTACGGTGAGTAGTTTCCGATGCATACCGTAACTTCACGTTGCACGAGGTACGATCTAAGCCAGCTGCAGAAGGAAACAGAACATCCCATTTTTTCAAGCTTTGCTTTGCTATTCTGCAAGTCACGTGACTCACTGACATCGGTGAGGTGACTTCCCGTGCAAACCAAATGGAGATGTCATCTCATTCGCGGCGACTATTGTCACCTCAGTGGTGACAGCGAATCACCTCACCTCACTAGCGGCGCGGAATAGACCTCAAATGGGAATCACTTCACAGTGACATCCGTAATAAGCCCGTATGTTGCGACGATGGATTCAACCTCTTGATCGCTGATATAGTTTGTATTGCCGTAATGTTGAACTAGCAATCATCGTCCCAAACTACTCTTGTGAGAAGATGAATTTGGCGGTTAATATGAGGACTTCATCTACCTCCATTTCTATAGCTTTCAATGGATGATTGAGGTGTGACTTTACATCAAATCGTTATCCCGTACTTGACATGGATAGTACGGTTCATCTTTGCTTTGTGAGCGTCCAATTCTTGTCCAAGCTGCAAGCCATCCAGGTTCCCATAGGCAACTGGTTCTCCTTCTCTTTGTAACAGGCTAGCTAGATCATCGTTGTCTCGCCATTTGGAAAAGCTCAATCCAGAAATCACAGAGCATCTAACTCCAACCAGTTTATCGACGAGTCTGTGCAGCAGATGCCAACTTGCATACTAATTGTGCATCGTAGATTTTGATTGAGCTATCTTTTCCTTCGGTCTTTCTTGCTGTAAATGCATTGCCGTAGTCTTTTCGTATAACGGGGCCCATTCCAAAAACACATGTTTCATGACACCAGAGCCCCACGATTGTATAGGATAGCAACTATCGATCTTGGTCCATGCTGAAGGGACTTTTTCATGCTTTATCATTGTAAACTTCTTCTTTGCAATCACGTTGTAGAGGTAGCACATTCCTTTGCCAGAGTAGTCCAGTCTTTCAGGTTCACTCGAAAGTTCACATTTCAAACTCTTGGTCCATGTGGCATACGTTGCCTCTTGTATCAAAACGGAGTGAAGTATTACCCAGGGGAAGGATGCCTTATGTGTCTGTCTTGCAACACCAAATGCGATGATGTCTAGAACTTGAGTTATCAATGTTCTGCTCTCTTTCTTTTTCCCTGCAATTTCATCTGCGATTTGTCTGATGTTGGGTACTCCTGCCAATTGAGATATTACAGCTCATTTCCATTTTCCTTGGAATGTAGGATCAGTGGTTTGAGCGAGAGCGATTAGTAGTGTCACGGGGCCCATTTGTTGCATTAACACACTCTGCATTGTTGGTGGGAAGTTCGCGACGTAAGCAACTGGTAAGTGAGATCCAGACACTCCCCCATTCACTCATGTTTGCCTTCCTTCAAAGTCTAAGATACGATACAAGTCGTTGAGATACACTCCTTTGAAGGTTATACTGCGACGAAGAATTCAACCTCGTGATAGCTAATATCGTTTGCATTGCTTCAAGCTAAATCGATTCTGGTTGTTAGTTCAGCTCTAATTAACTCAAGCCTTTTGTACTCACATTTATAGTTTTATCTTCTATATTAACTTGTGCAACCAATCACGACTTGTCTCTTGGACTTCGCTCTTGGAAATGATGCAGTACTCCTAACTATCAATGCCTACTCCTATTCAACCATCAAGCTGAATAAACGCAGCGCCTACCTGGTCTACAACAGCGTCTCCCTCTTATTCTGCAAGTCACGTGACTCACTGACATCGGTGAGGTGACTCTCCGTGCAAATCAAATGCCGAATCACCTCACTCGCGGTGACTGTTGTCACCTCGCCTTACTCGCGACGCAAAATAAGGGAGAATCCCCCCTATTCTGCGAGTCACGTGACTCTCTCTCACCGGTGAGGTGACAATAGTCACCTCGTGTGAGGTGACTCTCCATTTGAATTGTCACCTCACCGGTGAGAGAGAGTCACGTGACTCGCAGAATAAGGGGGAATGTTACACAGAATGCACAATATTACACTTTTAGGCTCTGAACCATTTGGTGGATTTTTTTAACTTTTGTTTAAAATTTGACAGATGGAAAGTTATCGATTAACCCTGCTATCCGAGCGTGACAAAAAGTTAAATTTTGACAACTATGACTGAGTTCTTCTTGAAAACCGGTCGATCGACAGCACAGGGATTTTCGAACATAGAGAATAAATTTCGAAATGTCACTTTTAACCACGAGTTAAATTTAACTCGGCAAATGGTTCACAGCCTTATAGCGAATTTGTTTATTAACGGGGTTGGAACCAGTGCGAACCTCTAGCTGAGGTAGGTTTTAAAAACAAACGATCAAATTGACGGTTGTCAGAAAACAAGCAGAGCCGATCTTGATACCCGATCCAGGTTGGAACTGAATAATAAACAAATTCGCTATTAGTTACCAGATGGATCTTTGTCATTGACGAAAAAATGAATGGCATGTTGACAAAGGTTTTTTAAGGATCAAGTCTATCAGTGACTATGTGAAAAAACATTTT